GTGGGCCGGCGAGGAGGAGATGGAGAAGCAGGCCAAGCAGGCCATCTCCGCGCGCCAGGCCAAGAAGGCCGACCGCGACCGTCGCAGCGGCAAGTTCGTGCCGCCGCCCGAGAACGCCGGCAAGCGCGGCAAGAAGCGCGCGCGAAGCGACGACGGCGGCGCGCCCGCGGGCGGCGGCGGCGGTGGTGGTTCGCGCTTCGAGGCGGACATGACGCAGCCCAAGAAGAAGCAGAAGGCGGCAGGGTCGGCCTTCGACGGCGAGAAGGGCGGCAAGGGCGGCAAGAGCGGGGCCGCCGACGGCGAGAAGAAGCATCTGGGCAAGAAGCGCGGCAACAAGGCCTTCAAGTCCAAGAAGAGGTTCCAGCGGAGGAAGTGATGACCTCCACCACGTTCCCCTCCCTTTACCGCCAACAAAATAAAATAACAATAAACAGTTACTTCTTTGCGTTCTGGCTCTCACGGTGCTCGGTCTGGAGAAGCGGGTGTTGGTCACGCCCGTGTGGTGGGCGTTCGGGGAGGCTCCCACCAGTGCCATTGCGCTGCGCAAACCGATGATCGTTTTCTTTGATCTGGCCCGCGTGGTCACGTTCGACGCTGAAGATGCGGCGAGAGTAGTTGAAGCCATTAGGGTCATGATGCAGGCGCTCATCGACGATGCCACCAGGGAAGTGGGTGGAGCCTATTCCTCCAATGAATAAAAAGATTCACATTCCAACATGTCGGAGTTGGAAACACTGCATGCCACGTGCACTTGGCAGGAAAGAGGAGTGGAACCAGCAACAAAACCGTCATCAGCCGTTGCCAGCTCCATGAGGCGCCAGAGCACGGCTTCGAAGTGTCCACTGTCGGGTATAAAAGCAGAGAGATCATGTGCGTAGCATTCAGTATCACTCTATCTTGACCTGCAACAAGCTCACCTCACGACTAAGCTCCACCGAATCATCAGCAACATGCGCTTCCTAGCCTTCGTCTTGCTTGTGTTGGCCGCTCTCTGCGGTACCGCTACTCACCACCGTGGTTGATCTATCAAGGTTGGTGCTGATGTATGTTGGTTGGCATGGACAGTGGTGGCCAGGGCCAATGATTGCATAATGTCCAAGTGCCCTCACGAACTCGACGCCTGCATCAACGACGCCACCTGCGCCGCCTCCCTCGAGTGCTCTGTGGCCTGCGAGGACACCGCCTGCACCCAGC